GCCCCAGCCCCCTAACTCCCCTCCCCTGGCCTTCAACTCCCTCCCACTCCCCAGTCCCCACTTCTCTACTTTTGGCTTCTCTAGATTGGGTAACTCTAAAGCCCTCCTGGGAGTGAATCAGACAGGTTTATCAGCTGGTGGCTTACTTCAGTAAGTGTGGCCTCTGTCGGGGATGGAATTGTGTCCCTCTCTCCAATTCATGTGCGGAAGCCTGAGCTCCTCCCCCCACCGTGACTGTATTTGGGGACAGGGCCGGCGAAGAGGTCAGGGGTGAGACAAGGCTGTAAGGGCGGGACCCTCTCTGACGGTCATCCTCATGAGAGGAAGCGACACCAGGCGTGAGGACACAGGGCGTCACAGAGGGAGGCCTCGGTGAGCCAGCCCTGCCCCCAACCTCGGACTTCCAGCCTCCAGTCCGTGAGAAGTATGCTTCTGTCTCAGCCACTGCGTCTGTGTCCTCTTTTGAGGCAGCCCAAGGACATGCACATGACAGCCATGAGGGCACCTCTTATTCTCCCGAGAACACACTAGGGGTTTGGGTTCTGTTGTTTCCAAGGGACAACACAGATTTCCTTAAACGTTCAAACAAAGGAACACGCGCACACAAGTAAGGAGATAACCAGATAGGCATGAACGTTAGCCAGATGATCTTGTGAGCCATGAGTGAGCATGACCAAGGATGCATACAAAAGCCTGACACAGGCAGGTGACTTGGGCCTGGTCCTCAACAGTACCTGCTTGCTGTCGTGATCATCGGCCTTCTGGCTGCCTTCCGCGGGGGAATCTCTCCGTTTTGCCTGCAGCAGGAAAACAGTCAAGGTGGGGGAAAAGCAGGGAAAGAGTGTCCATTTAAAATATACATATACTGCTTTCTGGCCCCTTCTGGTAAACAGACCAGAGGGCCAGGTCTACACTGGAGAAGACAGGCCCAGGAAAAGCCATGAGTGTGCCTGACACTTAGGCGCTCAGCATGGGTACCCTCAGTCAGAAGGAGGCACAGGGGGTGGGGGTCATGACATGTATATATACATGTAGATACACACACATATTTACATGCAGAGGTGCCCCAAAATATACATTTTAAGAAAGGAAAACACTGTATTAAAATGGCAATCATATGCACCCATAACAAAATATAAATATAAGTCATGTTTGACTTCTGCAATTACACATTGCTAGCATAATTTAATTCAACTTCAAAGAGTAATACATAGATAACATCTCTTAAAATGTATATACATCTTTTTGGCACCCCCAGTATGTGTGTGTGTATATTACGAATGAAGATCTAAGCTTTGCTCAGAATCTGGAAAATGCTAATTATCATTTTCTGTAGAGACAGGGTTTTGCTGTGCTGTCCAGACTGGTCTTGAACTCCTGGCCTCAAGCGATGCTTCCACCTATAAGTAGTACTACAGATGGGCATCACTGCACATGGCCAAAAATGTTAATTCTTGGAGGTCTCATATAGCAGGAGGCACTCAGATCTGCTGCCTGCCCGTGAGTCTCCTGAACTTGACATCTTACACTGTGCCATGGCTCCTTGGCCCTGGGCCAGTCAGTGTGAGGGCTGCTATGCACTCCACGCTTCCACCAATAACGCCATCAAACCCCACACAAAACCATTCCCCTGTGGCAACAGTACAGGCTGGAACTGTAAGAACACGTGCAGGGGTTGAAGCACACCGCCTGAAACGCACTGCTTTGGCTGAAGATGGCCGCGAGTCGACAGCAAGGGAGAAGCACAGGCACGGCCGCCCTCAGCCCTGCCCCTGCGGTCTCCCAGGCGTCAATTCCCTTCCCAGGTTCCCCTCCCCACCCACAGCAGGAGGTGAGTCTGCAGAACAAGCCCGCCAGAGGGTCCCGTACCTTCCATTACTTCGCCGTACTTGCCGCCCCACTATTTACTGGCCTAGAAGTCCAAATCCCTTTTACTCTGTCACTTCTCTGCAATTCACTGCTGGTTGTTAAAACATGTATGAGCGCCCGTGTCTAACCGCCCGTGGTTCTTGGTTGCTTTGCTACGAAGGCCTCGGCACCCAGCCGTGATCAGCCTTTTTCCTGTGACCTTTTATCACTCTAATGTTCAGTGACCCACACCTAAGAGCCCAAAAGGACGGGGGAAAAGGCTTTTTCCTCCCTCACTCACAGGAAAACCCCGACCTTGATGAAGCACCTCTGGCAAAACTGCCCAGAGGAGGCCCCTCAGCGCTAGGACTGCACGCCCGTGGCCAAGCAAGAACCCAACACTCCCAGACCTGAGGCACGTCCTGCTTGGTATGCCTTGTCTTATGATACATGAACTTGTGGCCTGCGTTGTCCTGCCTCCCTTCCTTTTCTGGGGTGTGGATCTGTGGAAGGATCCAGAGGGTTTACCAAGGCTCCTTCTCAGGCGACCTCAGGCAGAAGACTGAAGTGCCCACGCTGGCGATGACCAGGGTGGGGACTTCGAGACCTGACAGGATCATCATGGCCCGTTCCCTCTGCCTGATGCTTGGCCATAGAAACCTGAGGTCCTATCCAGCAGTGACCCACAGATTTGGGTGAAGTGCCCCAAAGTCACTGGCCAAAGACCTGGACTTCCTGCCTTAAGGCCAAGTTACGTCATGAAGAAAAAACAATGTCCTTACGTTGACCTCTGCTCAGCCAGAGGATCTAAGTACCAGTTCTGGGTGGGGCTACGGGACTGCCTGCAGCGGGTGCTCACCTCTCACACCAGCCCTCCCTGTAGTGTACTGTGAGGTGGCGAGGGGCCAGCCCATGCCCAGCCCCTGGGGTCCGTCCTGGCTCCCTTCCCTCCCTGCCCGGTTTTGGGTTCACAGCCTGCTAGGCAGATGAGCCAGGCCACGGCCCGGGCCTGCGCTCCATAGCAGAGAGTATGTGGTGGAGACACTACTTTCTGGCCCCTTCTGGTAAACAGACCAGAGGGCCAGGTCTACACTGGAGAAGACAGGCCCAGGAAAAGTCATGGGTGTGCCTGACACTTAGGCGCTCAGCGTGGGGACCCAGAGTCAGAAGGAGGCACGGGAGGGTCATGACATGTGTGCTCACTTCAGTCATTCACCAGATGCAGGACAGTCGTGCACACAGGTGAGGGCTCAGAGCTTACATGGGCTGTTCCAAATAGAAACCCTCAGGACGGGGGAGGAGAGAACAAGAGTGACGAGGGGCTGCCCTGTGGTGAGACGGGCACCCCCAGATGCTGGGGTGGTCCAAGGGACTTCCAGAGACATTGGGGACCTGCCACAGCCGGCGTCGCCCCAATACAACTAGACCGCACAGGCCGTGTCTAGGAGGCATAGGCACACCTGCAAACACACGTGACGGACAGTGCGGCTTCATCAGATGGACTCTGGGATGCTCCAGTATGACGCGAACCATCCTCGGTTGCTACTGTCAATTTTGGCTGTTTTTTTTGTTTTTTTTTTTTGAGTTGAAGTCTCACTCAGTCGCCCAGACTGGAGTGCAGTGGCCGCTCCCAGCCAGTGCAGCCTCGACCTGCTGGGCTCTGGCAATCCTTCCTCCTCAGCCTTCTGAGTAGCCGGAATTACAGGCATGGGCTACCACGCCCGGCTGATTTTTTTATTTATTGTAGAGATGAGGTCTCGCTGCCCAGGCGGGTCTTGAACCCGCGGGCTCAGGCAATCCACTCACCTCGGCCTCCCAAAGGCGCGGGATTACAGGCTGAGCCACCGAGCCCGGCTATTTTTGGCTGTTTTTGAAGATTGGTTACAATCCTGTCCCAGTCACTTGGCCACCAAGGCAGGGGGTGCCCATGTGGCTGACTGTGACACAGAGTGTGAGGTTTTCCAGGTCAGAAAGAGCGAGAAGCAAACGCTGTCTTCGTCATTCCCCATCAGTGGCCCCGGACACACAGTGCCCTCACCCGAAACCCGGTGGGCAGGAGGGCTGGGCTGCTGATTCCATGCAGGACACAGTGCTGCTCGTGGCCTGGGGCTCCCGTGGCCGCCTACCCTCCTGGCCCTGGGAGCCATGGGCTCAGCCCAGGCAAGGAGGGAGGATGCCCCGCACCTGCCACTGCGGGCAGAATCCCACAGCCCAGGATGCCTCAGTCCCCTATGGAGAGGCCCGCTGGACCCTGGAGGGACTGGGCCTCACTGTGGGAAGGTGGCTGGTGGCACCCAGGACCAGCTGGACTCCCAGACGCAGGCGGAAGCCACCTGCCGTCAAGAGGCTGAGAGCCACAGAGCCCACTCCCCTCTCAGCACTGTGCTTCAGACGGTGCTTGCCACATCAGGACCACACAGACGCAGTGGGGCCAGCCAGCCTGCCCACCTTTCCTGAGGACTTCCAGTCTTGGGGTCAGAAACCCTCCCCAGAAGCGACTGCAGCTGGACTGCGAGGGCAGAGCCCAGGGACACCGCAGCCTCTCCCTATGCTTGCCCATCCGCTCGCCCAGGATGCTCAGCACTTGTACCAGCACGAATGCAGGAACGCTGGCAGGCTTACGTTTCTCCCATCTCCAGGCAGCACCAACCCTGACCTGCAGCCCAGCGCCCCTTCCCACCACCCCATAGCCCTGGAGGAGACCCCTGGACAAGACCCTTTCCTGAGACCAGCCTTCACTCAGACACATGCCGGGGGAGGCAGCTCTCCCTGCCCTGGCCCAGGGGAGGACAAGGCTAGGGTTTTGTTTTTGTTTTATTTGTTTGGCTTTGAGTCGGGGTCTCACTCTGTCACCCAGGCTCGTGGCCGGGCATGCCATGCTCATGGCCACTGCAGTGCCATGACCTGGCACTACAGCCTCGACCTGCTGGGCTCAGGCAATCCTTCCACCTCAGTCTCCCAAGTAACTGGGACCACAGGTGCATGCCATCATGCCTGGCTAATTTTTTTTCTTTTTGTAGAGAGGAGGTCTTGCTGTGGTGCCCAGACTGGTCTCAAGCTTCTGGACTCAAAGAACTCTCCCACCTCAGCCTCCCAAAGTGCTGGGATTATGAGTGTGAGCCACTGTGCCCAGTGGGCTTTTATTTTTTCTTTGAGATGGGGTTTCACACTCTGGCCCAGGCTGGAGTGAAGTGGTATGATCACAGCTCACTGCAACCTCAACCCCATGGCCTCAAGCAATCCTCCCACCTCAGCCTCCCAAAGCGCTGGGATTATGGGCATGAGACACCGCACCTGGTCTGTGTGGCCAAGATTTTCCTGGACTCTTCTAGAAGAGCCACCAACTCTACCAGCCAACTGACTCTACCGGCCAACTGCGTCCAACCACATCACCCTGCCATCAGATCCACCCGTCTTCTAATAGTTCGACTAAGCCCAATGACGCTGGGCATCTGGGGGGCGTGTCCACTTACATTTCCGGGTTGGCCACCGCTGGCTGTGGCGCTGCTGGTGGAGTTGAGGTCACGGCAGCCCCAGTCACTTGCCATCCCGAGGCCCTCTGTCAAGAAAGGGGCGGTAGACTTTAAGGGGCCGCTGGCCAGAGCCACTGACCCGTGTGGGCCCAAAGGCAGCACTGGCCCTGTGCACTGTCCTCTCAGCTGTGGGGAGAACAGACGGCCAGGCCCCTGAGGTCTCTAGACTCAAGCCTTTCAGGGTTTCAGCACTAGAACCATGTTTAAAATGGGAACGAGAATGGCCACCTCCCACTGAAATACAAATGAGGGGAGTTGGACGACACTGGCAAAAGCCAGAGCCGGACTTGAAGGCTGTGAGGAAGGGCCCTCAGGTGTCATGGGGAGGCCATGTCCTTGCAAGCATGCCCATGGGGTTTTTCTCCAAGGCTGGGAACCCACTAGGGCCCCGTGGTCACCATAGTGAAGCCCTCGTCACAAACATGGGGCCCTAGAAACCATGCACCATGTTGAGGTCGGCCGACCGGACCTTGCCTTAGGGGTCTCTGTTGTCCCCCGCAGGGGTAGATGGACACCCTCTCCATGAGGGCGGTACCACTTGTTAGTCAGCAGGATGGCAGGCTCAGGTGAGGCCCAGGCAAGCAGCGCATGGCAGAAGACTCGGTATGCCCTCTCCACCTTAGCCTGTACATGCCATGGCCCAGCCATGGGCTCAGGGTCCCGGCATACCTGGAAGCTCCGCACAGCCTGTCCTGCAGCAGGTGGGAGGGAGGCCAGCCTCCTGTGGGACAAACCCCTCCCACCACAGGGAGTCTAGAGGGACATGTTGAACGTTCCCGCCAGCCCATCCCATGCCACTGAGCCCGCCTGCATTCCCAGCCTTCAAGGCCTGCTCTGGATGAGAGGAAACTCTGGTAAGCGTCTGTGGGGTTGCTGGACCTGCCCTGGCTCCCCACAGGGAGAGGATGGAACCAGGCCAGGAGGCCAGTTACTCACTTTCAATGTGTGCAAAAGCACAGAAGGGACCTCGCGGACAGTACCCCGTCTGACGCATGTCGTTGCATTTCGTGGATTTGTAAATCTAGGAAGCAAAAATGAAGTAGCATAGAGAGACCGGACTAGAAACAGGATTCCATGGGATGACCAGAAGGGCTGCGCCACAGCGCAGGGAATTCAGCTTCACATCAAACAAGAGTCTCCCCAAAAAAGGATGTGGATGCCGCCCCCTCCACTGGATGCCCTTGGTTCCGAAATCCCTCTTCTCCACCGAGTGGGTCGGCTGTGAACGAGCACACACACGAGGTCCCCACAGCACCTGTCACCACATCACATGCAGAGCCGTTTCCCCGCTTGATGTTTTCTGGAAGATGCACCCAACTCAGTGTCTGGTATACAGCAGGTACCTAATACATGCCTGTTCCCTGAACACATGCATCTTTTCCAAACCAGACCCACTGCCACTTCACTTGAGGTGACAGACACTTTCATGGGGTCATCACCTAGCGCCTGGGAAGGGACAGACCAGCCTGGAGGCCCCCAATTTTCCTTCAGAGTACACTGCCCAGCCCAGAGGCCATATCTACCCCACCAAACCCCTCCCATCTTCTCACTCAGAGAAGGATGTGAGGATGGGCACATCTGGTCCCCTGCATGCACACCTGCCCGGGTCCTGGAGGGAAGCCCTCCAGCAGACATCTGGCCTGGTTCCCACCATCTCATGGACCCTGAAGGAAGCTTCTTTGCTTGTTCATTTTTTTAAAAATCAGGGTCTCACTCTATCACCCAGGCTGGAGTGCAGTGGCACCATCACAGCTCACTGTGGCCTCATCCTCCTGGGTTCAAGTGATCTTCCAGCCTCAGCCTCCTGAGTAGCTGGGACAATAAGTGTGTGCCGCCACACTTGGCTAACCTTTTATTTTTATTTTTTTTATTTATTTATTTTTTTGAGTTGGAGTCTCACTCTGTCGCCCAGACTGGAGTGCAGTGGCTGCTCCCAGCCACCACAGCCTCGACCTGCTGGGGTCCGGCGATCCTTCTGCCTCAGCCTTCCAAGTAGCCGGAATTACAGGCGCGCGCTACCACGCCCGGCTGATTTTTTTATTTATTGTAGAGATGAGGTCTTGTCAAGTTGCCCAGGCGGGTCTCGAACCTGCGGGCTCAGGCAATCCACTCACCTCGGCCTCCCAAAGTACTGGGATAACAGGCATGAGCCACTGTGCCTTGTTTTTGTTTTTTGTTTTTTTTAAGTCAGGGTCTCATTCTGTCGCCCAGGCTGAAGTGCAATAGTATGATCGGGGCTCATTGCAGCCTCCCATTCCTGGGTTCAAATGATCCTCCTGCATCAGCCTCCCAAGTAACCGGAACTATAGGTGTGTGCCACCATGACCAGCCAATTTTCGAAAATTTTTTGTAGAGACGAGGTGTTGCTATGTTGCCCAGGCTGGTCTTGAACTCCTGGGCTCAAGTGATCCTTCCGCCTTGGCTTCCCAAAGTGCTGGGATGGGAGGTGTGAGCCATTGGGCCTGGCTGCTTGTTCACCTTTCATACAAACCTACATGTTCTCTGTCTGGCAACCACGCAGCAGAGTGTGAACTCAGCAGCCCTAGGCTGTCCACACTCTGCACATCCCAAAGGAGGGATGGGCCAGGCCTGCCCCTGGGTTGGCCTCCAAGACCTGGAATGTCCTGTCTGGTAAGTCTTGTTCCCCTGGGGGCTGGGCCAGCTGGACAGTCTCTCTCACAGTGATTCATGGAGGCTGTGGGCCACATGGTCTCAGCTTGACTCTGGGGGTGCTGGAGACTAAGGCCAGTCAGGCCTGTGTGACCAAACCCCAACAGAAGCCCCAGACAGCCGGGCTCCAGGGAGTCCTGGGTGGGCACTACTCGGTGTGAGTGGCCACACCTTGTTCAGAGACAATGCTTCACTGCCAGGGACCCCCCCGGGAGGGACCCATGCACCTTCTCCTTGGCTGATCTTAATCCCCACCCTTCCAGTAGAACAGACTTTACAGGAACACGGCGGCTTTTCTGAGCCCTGCAACTCCTTCCAGCAAATCCCGGAGCCTGGGGGTGACCCTGGGACGTACCTCTGGGTGGAACTGCTGCTCCGTGCGCGAGTGGCAGTACTGACAGCTGTCGCCGCCGTCACAGCGTGAGGGCTCGCCCCACTCATCCCCGTGTTTCACGCTGGGGCAGGGCGTGGACCTGGGGATGGGGACGTGTCAGGAGACACACAAGGCCATGCCCTGGTGGACCCTGGCACGTCGGGTTCAACCATCTCACACCCCAAGCATGGGGTCTGGAGCGACCAGTGACCCTGTCCCACGAGGACACGCATGGGCTAAGGCCACTGGATGCTGGAAGTGGATCAGGAGCCCCGTGCCTGTTTTCACAAAAGGTTATGTGAGTGAGTCAGAGCTGCCTGCCAAGGTGGAACACCCCACGGAGAACAAGCTTCCTGGGCCAGCCGGAGCAGGGAGACTGTGGCATTGGAAGACAGCAGGCCACCGATACACGGACCCATGAGGCAGGCCTACAGGACAGCCAGGGCTCGGCGGTGGAGGCTCCATGTGCACTCTGGGGGACCGCTCAGACTCTTGGCCTGAGGACACAGTGCCAGGCTGCCAGCCCTGCAGGCAGAATCAATCCCGTGGCCCCAGAAGGCCAGCAGCTCAGCAACCCAGGGCAAAGAGTCGCCACATGGTAAACAGGCAGGGAGCACCAGTGTGAGCAGAGGCGTGAGCGGGCATCCATGGGAGCTGGCAGGGCTCGGAGTCCTCCTGTCATGCTGTTCCCACCTGGCAGAGGGCACCTGGTGGGCACCACGTGGAAGCCACCATGCTGGGGTGGAGAGGCCTGACTCAGGACTGACAGCATTGCCAGGCCTTGTGCTCTAACCTGCCCTCCTCTCCCAAGGGGTGATGGCGCCATGGGGCAGCCCCACCGTGAGGACCTGGGGTGGGCAGCCAGGACAGCAGGCTTGGAAAGACACCCCACCAGGTCCAGAAATCCCCAGGGGGGTGGTGGGCGAGGGAGAGGGCTGCAGGCTGCATGCCTGGGCGTGGGAGGCACAGGCCAGGTCCGACTCACCTGTACTGGAAGCGCCGGGGGTTGCGTCTTCTGTCCCTGCTGTTGTGGTAGTGTGGACACGCATAGCCCTGGCGGCACAGGCGCGGTGGCTTTGGACACTGCTCAGTCTTGTAGCTGCCTAGCACGAAGTTGGCGTCTGAAAAACAAGCCACATGGAAACCTGTGCACGTGTGCCTGCAGCTATGGTAGGCACAGCAGACAAAGGCGGAGACAGCCCAGATGTCCACCAACAGATGGCACAGATGCAGAGGATGGCCCTCCACACATGGGAGGCCACGCTACCACACGCAGAGTGAAGACACGGCACGTGCTATGATACAGATGAACCTTGAAGACATCACGCTCTTCGAGAGAAGTTGGACACAACTGACTACGTGTTATGTGGCTCCAGTGACATGAAACGTCTAGAACATACAACTCCAGAGACAGCAGTTAGATTCCCAGGAGTTGTCCTGCTTGGGCATGGGGTTTCCTTTTGATGTGATAAAAATGTTCTCCTTGGCTGGGTATGGTGGCTCATGCCTGTAATTCCAACACTTTGGGAAGCTGAGGCAGATGAATAGCTTGAGTCTAGGAATTTGAGACCAGCCTGGGTAACATAGCAAGACCTCACTGCGGCAGAAAATCACCACTGGATGTGGTGATGTGCACCTGTAGTCCTAGCTACTCAGGAGGCCTGAGCCCAGGAGGTTGAGGTGGTGGGAAGCTATTACTGTGCTACCGCACTCCAGCCTGGGTGACAGAGCAAGACCCCAACTTAAAAAACAAATAAACCAACTAGACAGAGGTGATGGCTGTACAACCTTGTGAATATACCAAAACTATGGTAATGAACAAAACTGTTCATTTTAACCCTAAAGTAAGTTACAGACTTTGGGTGAGAATCACACGTCATTGATGACAACAGGTGACCCCCACAGGCAAATGCTGAGCATGGGGGAAGTGTGAAGGGGGGCATCTGGGAAGTCTGTGCTTTCCACCCAGTTCTGCTGTGTGCCCAAAACTACTCTAAGAAGTCAAGCCTATTTTTTTTTACGGTTAACCTGATGTCATGTGAATTTTATCTCAAAAACAACCAACCAGCCAGGGGTCGTTGGAAAGCTGTGATCTTTGGGAGAAGACTCCTAAACCCACACCCTCTCCTGAGCTGGCAACTGTGTCTCGCCCGTCTACACAGGCTGTTGTTTCTCTACTACACTTACCCAGTGGCCGGAACATCTGGAGGGGGCTGAGAGCAGCTGTCCCCATGCCCTGGTGCCTCCCTAGTGAAGTGTGACACCGTGACGCCTTCTGTCCTCACCTCATTGAGTTTCAAATAACTTGCTAAACAACAAAAGATGCTCCCCTACGGCAGCGTGGGAGAGCGAGAGGTGCCTGGGACAGAACCGCCATCCTGAGCAAGCACAAGGTATAAGACTCCTGCTCGTGAGGACTGTGCACTAGCACGCGGTTCTGTGCTGTGCCCCAAAAGGCTCAGAATAGAGCTCTGCAGCAGCCTGGAACATGAGGGCCTACACATGCCTTCAGGCTAGGAGTAAGGAGAAAATAAGCCCACAGAAAACAGGGCAAGGCCAGACATTGGAAACATGACACAAATGTGCAATTGCGATCACTCTTTTTGTTTTTTAGAGATAGGATCTCAGCCTGTCACCCAGGTTGGAGTGCAGTGGCCTTGATCATGGCTCAGCGCAGCCTCCAATCCCTGAGAGTCCTTGAGCCCCCCCACCTCAGCCTCCCAGCTGGTGGGGACTAGGGGTACGTGCCAACACACCCAACTGATTTTCAAATTTTTACTTATTTGTTTGAGTCAGGGTCTCACTCTGTTGTCCAGCTGGAGTGCAGCGGCACAATCACAGTCCCGACCTCTGGACTCAGGTGATCCTTTCACCTCAGCTTCTTGAGTAGCTAGAACTACAGGTGAGCACCACCACGCCCAGCTAACTTTTTGGCTTTTTTGCAGAGATGAGGTCTCGCCATGTTGCCCAGGCTGGTCTCAAACTCCTGGGCTCAAACAAACCTACTGCCTCAGCCTCCCAAAGTGCTGGGATTATAGGTGTGAGCCACTGTACCCAGCAATTTTTTGATTTGTTCGTAGAGATGAGGTTGGTCAAGCACTTCTTGGCCTTGTGGCTAAGATCAAGTGAGATGAGGTCAGTCTTGCTGTGTTGCCCAGGTTGGTCTTGAACTTCTGGCCTCAAGTAATCCTTCTGTCTTGACTCCCAAAGATGTGAGACACTGTGCCCCGCCTAATTACAATGACTAATGAAGTAAATCTGGGCCAGGCATAGTGGCTTATACCTATAATTCCCGCATTTTGGGAGGCCAAAGTGAGAGGACTGCCTGAGTCTATGGGTTTGAGACCAGCCTGGGCAACTTGGCGAGACCTCATCTCTACAATAAATAAAAAATTAGCCAGGTGTGATAGCACATGCCTATAGTTCCAGCTACTTGGAAGACTGAGGCAGAAGAATAACCTAAGCCCAGCAGGTGGAGGCTGCAGTGGCTATGAGCATGCTACTGCACTCCAGCCTGGGCAATAGAGTGAGACTCCAACTCAAAAAAAAAAAAAGTAAATATGTTCCTAAATACATCCAAGTGTGAAATTTCACCACGGAAAAAGCACAAACATTGCGCTATTATGGTAAGAGGCATATGAAAACTGCCTAGCCCAAAGATGTCCTTTAGTAGGTGAGTAGACAGAGAGACTGGGTACATCCAGACAGTGGGACAGGACTCAGTCCCGAAGAGAGATGAGCCGCTGAGCCCTGGAAAGACACAAAGGAGACTCGAACGCCCCTAAGTGAAAGGGGCCAGGGTGCGAAGGCCGCAGATGCAACGATCCCAACTCGACGGCATTCTGGAGAAGTCAGAGCCACAGGCCGGCAGGTCGGTGGTGCTGGGGCTGGGGGCACGGACTGGCAGAGCCCGAGCCCTGTGGGGCCTTCCAAGGGTGGATGCCCATTGCTGCACACCTGCGCAGACTCACAGAAGGCACAACCTGACAGGCAGCCCTCGCATCACCACAGGTTCCAGTTGACAATGACAAGTCAGTGCTGGATCACCTGTAAGCGTGTCCCATGCCGCACCCATGTGCACATGGGAGGCTGTGGGACAGATGCGGGGATCCTCTGGATCTAGGACTTCTCCTGCAGACCTAAAACTGCCCCGAAGCATGAAACCCACTGAAGACAGCTTCCGCCTGTGGGTGATTCGCCTCAGGAGCTGTGGCAGGGACTGCTCTTTGAAGGAGAAGGTGACTTCGGTGACCCGAGAAGGTAAGTCAGAACACCCAGCCTAGAAACACCTCTGACTCCAGCCAAGGCCAGAACATTCTACATAAAGCGGTTCTGCGCGATGGGGATCCGCCGCCCAGAGCTCTGAGCTCTGCCTCCAGCCCCAGCTCCTCTCCGCCTCCTCAGAGCTGCCCCAGCTGAGTCCACCTGCGGCGGCCCTGGCCCAGGGTAACTGCTTGGAGGTGGAGGCCCAGGGTGCTCCCCTTAGGGAGGCTGACGGGTAGCAGAACAAGAGAGACAAAAACCACCAGAGTCGAGCGCTGCTCCCAGGCGGGGTAGGCAAAGTTGCAGCCCGACCTCTCCCACGGCTCCCCTGACCCCATGAGCCTGTGCAGGTCTCCCTCTGAAACGTGGGGGGCCCCCAGGGCAGGCAGCATCCTGGTACCCCCCCACCTGAAACCAAGGCCACGGCCACCTGCCCTGCCCAGGCTGAGCTACAGGGACACCAGCCAAGTGGGGGCTGGTGAGCAGGTGCCCAGTGCAGGTGGGCAGATGGGGAGGGAAAGAGGTGGGGAAGGGACGCAGGAGAGGCTCCCAGGGTTACCTGATTCATCCCCCCGCCAGCCCCAGCCCACGCCTCAGCGAGCAAGGGAGAGATCCCACTGAAGTAACCACAGCCTGGAAGCCTCATCTCCGTGCGTGGACAGCCTCAGCAACACAGGAGAACATGTGCGTGATGGGGAGAGCCTTCCTCTAAACCCTGTGTCCCACAGGAAGGGTCCAGAAGGCCCACTGGAGAGTGCATGCAGCTGGGGTGGGGGTAGGGGAATGGGAGTGGTGCCCACGGTATGGGTTCCCTACATAGTGGGGATGTTTTGGAACGTTAGGGGTGGTGGTTGTGCAATTATGTGCATGCACTAAATGCCACTGAACTGTCTACTTTAAATAAATTGGTGAATTTTACAGAGTGTTAAACTGAGATGTTAAAAAAAGAAGAAGAAAAGGAAGAGAAGAGGAAACAAACATGAAAATGGCAAATTTTACAGAACGTTAAATTGGGATGTTAAAAAAAATAAGAAAAATAAAAGAAAATGGTGAATGTCACATTGTCTTTTACCCCCCACACACACATGTACACCTCTCACCACCTGCAACCCCATTGGGTCCTGCTAAGGACACCATCCCACAGCCCTGGGGACAGCCGGGCTCTGTTTCTGACCAGCTCCCAGGGTCTGAGCTGCTGCCTGGCACCCCCTGTAGAGGTGTGCTAGAGAACTGGAGCCAGCGGGAGAGGCTGGACTGCGACGGCTGGCCAGCTCCAGGGCAGGATGCCCACAAGCTGTCACGGGAGCTGTGCCACCCCAGCCCAGTGGCCAGTCTACAGTTGACCCCACTGAGATGCTGGCTGGCGTGAGGGGCAGACGCTGGGACTCCCACGCCTTGGCCACCAGCCACCCGAGGGAGTCCAGGAGCCTCCGTTTTCCCATCTGATCACTGGGCAGGTCAAGTTAAGGGCAGGAGTGGACCGAGTGACTCTGCAGTGTGCCCATGGGATCCCTGCCCACCTTCAGCGCCGCTGGGGGTTACCTTGCCACCGGGGGTCCTCACCCAAGATCTTCTCAATCATGGCCTGGCTGGCCAAGACCCCGGGCTGCAGGTCAGGCCCGTCTCCGCTGAGCTGGCCGTTCTGCAAGGCTTCCTGGGCCTGCAGCTCCCTACGAGCAAACAACACACCGGTCACGGCTCTGCCAGGGCCCAGGGTCCCCTAGGGATATGGGGAAATCCCAGACATGCCTCCGAGCACTCATGCGAGCCGGCGGCAACCTGAGGGGACAGGAAGGGTCTGGGTGGGCATTGGCAACCCCGTCCTGGCCCAACAGTCCTGACCAGATCCCAACCATGGATGGGCTCGCTTTCCTGCAGTGACTGTGGAGCCCAGAGGCAACACCTGTCCCTGGTCCTTGCTGAAGTGCCCGAGGGACATGGGGATGGCAAGGTGGGCAGACAGTTTCCTGTGAGACAGGAAGCCCAGGCTGGGAGTCACTGGGCCTGGGGAAGCTGCCCAGCAGGACCTGCTCACCTGATGTCGCACACGGGCGGCCGTAGGTCCAGAGGACCATGTGCAAAGGCACAGTGCAGTCCGTTCTTCACGCAGTGGCCCCGAGCGTCTGTCTCGTGGATGCACGTGCCCGTCTTGTAGTAGCGTAGATGGTACTTGCGTTCAGTGTCCCCCGTCGTGCGGTGCAGGTAGGGACACCTGGCAGGGAACACACACCTGGTTCCCATGGGGGTGGCGCAGCCCCGCTCCCAGCCGGCCCCACTCACGCCTGGTGAGCAGCTGCATCTAAGCCTTCGCCTAAACACCTACTGCCGTCGGAGGAAATGACATTGAATGTGGAGCTTGTCCCCCGATCCGGGCCTTCCCCCAGCATTTGGACCACCACAAACCCCTCACAGTGGAAGAAAATGCTGCACCAAGTTTCCATGAAAACCTTCCTCATTTTTTGAATTTTTTTTTAAGAGACAGCGTCTCACTCTGTCATCCAGGCTGGAGTGCAGTGGCACAATCACAGCTCACTGCAGCCTCGACCTCCTGCAGTGAGCTGTGATCCTCCCACCTCAGCCTCCTGAGTAGCTGGGACTACAGGCACGTGCCACCACATCTGCTGATTTTTTGAAAAATCTTTTTGTACCAATGAGGTCTTGCTGTGTTGCCCAGACTTGAATAAACTTTTAAAACTTATGTGGAAAAATAAAGTTAATGGCTTGCATGCAGGCTGTATGACCTCCCTGATGAGGGATCTTGGGGTCCTCCTGCCCTCATCTTGGTGCTTTCAGGGACTCCAGGAGGGAGGGAAAGAAACCTGGACATGGCGAGGGGACCACGGCAGGACACAGGCAGAAGAGATAAGCAGATGTCAAGGCAGGGAGCATGGGCGGGGCAGCACCGCGCACATCAAGGCCACATGGAGGCCCAGAGCCATGTACTCCCGGGGAGCCACAGGTGGCTCCTGGGGCTGGACAGGATGTGGTGGGGGGAGCTACTGCCGTGGGCTCGGGCGTCAGGAGGGCAGCGGCAGCAGGGATATATGGAAGGTTCTGGCACTCATGGGGGACCCCCGTCCGTCCTGCAGAATGGTTTCATGAACACAGGAGGGGGAGCTGTGTAAGGACACTGAGTCCTCAGCGGGGCCGGAGCCCAGGCTGGCGAGCGTCACCTCAAGTGGCCCGGGGGGAGGCAGAGAAAGTTGGGGACCCATTACCGTAAGTCCCCGTGTGTAAAGACACTGCCTTCACCTCTGCAGCGGCCGGGGAGCTGTGGCTCTGGGCGTGGGGATGCCTGCTATGGACAGCTGGGACCAAGAACAATCTCACAACCCCCAGGGACACACCACACCCTACAAGATCAAGAAATGGACACCCAGAGTCCAGAGAGCAGGACCCAGACTCCGCCAAGCACCCACGATGGGCCAGGCGCTGAGGGGTGAAGACAGAGGTGGAACCGGGGTGCCCCAGCCAGGCTGCAGGCCCCAGAAGCCAGCCAAGCAGAAACAGTTAGCACAGACCCCTATCGGATGGTCCCACTCCCAAGCTCGCACCCAGAGAATGGGATGTGCCGGTATTCACAGCAGCCCCGCACAATGGCCCCAGGTGGGACCAACCAGTGTCCTTGGACGGGAAAGAGGGTGAATAAAACGCGGCCCACCAGGACAATGGAACACACTCAGCCTTCAGGGGGACAGTCTGACACAAGCACCAACAGGAAGAACAGAAAGCACGATGCTAAGGGAGAGAAGCTGGGCTCAAAAGGGCAAATGGTGTGCGACTTTACGCTAGTGAGGGGGCTCGAGCAGTCACCTCCAAGACAGAAGGCAGGTCTGCAGGTACCAGGGGATGGGGAGGGGATCAGGGGTCGCTGTTCAATGAGTACTGAGTTCCTGTTTGGGGTAACAGGAACATTTTGGAATTAGATGGTGGAAATGGTTGCACAACTTTATAACTGCAATTAATGCCACTGAAATTATAATGCAAAGTGGGCAAAGTGGCATTTTTTATATTATATAAATATACACTTAAAAACACATATATTTGAGTTAGGGTCTCTGTTGCCCAAGCTGGAGTGCAGTGGCATGCTCACGACTGACTGTAGTCTTGACCTCTGGGCTCAGGTAATCCTCCTGTCTTAGCCTACGGAGCAGCTGGGACAAGCAAGTACCACCATGCCTGGCTAATCTGTGTATTATTGTAGAGACGAGGTCTTGCTATGTTGCCCAGGCTGGTCTCAAACTGCTGGGCTCAAGCAATCCTCCCATCTAGGCCTTTAAAGTATTGGCATTACAGGCATGAGCCACTGTGCCCAGCCATGTCACAATATTTTTCCACAATTTTTTTTTTTTGAATTGGAGTCATCTCACTGTCACCCAGGCTGGAGTGCAGTGACATGCTCATGGCCTCCACAGCCTCGACCTGCTGAGCTCAGGTGATCCTTCTGCCTCAGTCTTCCAAGTAGCTGAAACTACAGGCATGCATCACCATGCCTGGCTAATTTTTTAATTTATTGTAGAGATGAGGTCTTACCAAGTTGCCCAGGGTGGTCTTGAACCTGTGGGCTCAGGCAATTCTCTCACCTCAGCCTCCCAAAGTGCCGGGATTATAGGCATGAGCCACCACGTCCAGCTTTATCACAATTTTAAACAAAGCCCACCACGGACTGACCAACAAGGGGGAGAGTGGTGTTTTATCTGTTGGTATCCTGAGGTGAACATACACACAGAACATGCTCAGATAGCCCTGTGGGGTGCAGAAGATTCCTGAACTGAACACACCAGCACAACCAGCACCCGAACCAGGAGACAGAACACGGCCAGCATCCGGGACCTCCAGGAAACAGAACAGAAGGCCAGTGGCAGTGCCCCTGGAGACAAGGCTGGTGTCTGCCAAGAGGCAACTGCTGACGGAGATGTCACAGTGAGCACCGTGGAAGCAGGCCACGAGAGCATGGAAGGATGAAAACAGAGCAGGTTACAAGACAGTCTGGTCTTGGTTTGGCCAAAAGAAAAAAGTTGAAATTGGATAAAAAAGGAATGACTGCACATGTCTCCACTACTGTTCATGGTCACACACAACCTTATGAGGAGCTGTTTTCTTCATGCTCCCTGTAAGCAGTGCCAAGGGACACCTTTGGGAGGTGGAGACAAAATAGTCAACAACTACTTACAGTGTTTTGTTTGTTTGTTTTATTTTTAATATAACTAGAGATAGGGTCTGGCTATGTTGTCTAGGCTGGTCTAGAACTCCTGGCCTCAAGTGATCCTCACACCTTGGCTTCCCAAGGTGCTGACAGGATTACAGGTGTGAGCCACCGTGCCCACCTGGCCACCTTAAAATGCTTAACACGCTTGATTAGAGTCACCCTAAGGCATCCCAAGCTCATCCCTGTGCCTTCACCCCAGCCCTGCTGATGTGGATGGGTTCCCAGTGCTGGGAGGCCTGAGGCTGCTGTGTAAGGCTTTTTGCCAAGCAGCCTGTTCTATAACATGAGCACTCCTCTCCTACTTTTCACATCAATGTATACATGAGTTTCAGACAGGCGTGGTGGCTCACACCTATAATCCCAGCATTTTGGGAGGCTGAGGCAAGAGGACTGCCTGAGTCCAGGGATTTGAGACCAGCCTGGGCAACTTGGCAAGACCTCATCTCTATAATAAATTTTAAAAATTAATCAGACATAGTGATGTGTGCCTATAGTTCCAGCTACTTGGGAAGCTGAGGTGGAAAGATCGCCTAACTCCAG